TAGCTACCCATTTTATATTTGTGATTCTGGACGGCTCACATAATGAAAAACAACCAAATAACATAACCAATAAAGAAAATCCAAAAATCAGTAAAACATAATAACCCCCTTTAAAATCCAGCGAAAAACCAAAAGTTACAACGGAGAAACAGAAAAAGCAGGCAAGTGAAAGTCATGAACATAGCCATCTGGCAGACTCTGAGCCATAACCAGATCCCCAGGCACGTTGGCACGACCATCTTTTTAGAACCTTTTGGAAGGCCAGCAGGGTTGGGGCCAATGTAACCTTGGGGAGCGGGTGATGCTCCAAAGGGCAAGGCTGAGGCAGGAAAGGCTCTCCTCCTGAGTTCCACCAGACCGCACTCCTTAACAGACGAATGAGTGGGCCAAGAGGCCCCAATATTAGTGCTGGGAAGTCGAGTGGGGAAGCAGCAGACCTTCATCTCTGCCTTCTCTAACCACTGACATCCTGAGGGGCTGCACTATGACCCTCTCCCCTGGAGCAGCAGGTTTTGGATCACCCTCTTGGGAAGTCATCAGCCTGCAGAAGGACACACTAGTGGTACTTCTTCAGCATTCCAAAGGGTCTCTACCCTCTACTTTGATGGATGATCATCTCCAAAATAACACCAACAGTTGATGGAAAATGCTACTGAGAAGGTTGTGAATATGTTCCGTTTGTGTATGTGTTTGAGTCTAAGGCATACTGGGCTGCTATCACACTTCTTCCACTTCAGAATTCCCTCCCCCTCCTCATTTGAATAAGGTCCCTCCATTCTCTCAATAAACACAGGGCTTGAACAAGCCCAAGTTATGCTTTGGACGTTCCATAAATCTCCAAGGGAGATCCAAGAAAATGCTTGACTTGCTCTTGGCTTCAACACAGAACAAGCATGTCCCCTCTTGTTCTTGAGAGTCATAAAGGTCTTGGTAGGACACTGTCCCACCTCCTCTAAATGAAGGTCTATGTTATTTGGAATCAGGTCAGTATGATATTTGCTGAGATTATCAAAGAAGGAGACCTTGCTAGAAACATGTTTAATAATGTAACACGTTTCTACTGTCTTGGTGGATTCCAGAAAGTGATTGATATGTGGAAATTGGATGAAAAGACTTTGGGATCAGAAGGACAAAGTTCTGTTTCAAGTTTGCAGAGGTGCTTTAGGGAAGCTGGCTTTCCTAGTGGATGGAGACATTAGGGTGAAGGTGCCCCTTTCAAGATGCCTCTTGCAGACCTATAAACAACAGCTTCCTCTTCATGTTCCAAATGTTATGTTGAGATACATCACTTTGAACATGGAAGTTCCATCTTGTTACCATGGCCAATAGCCAGCGGTTCATCATCTAAGCTACAATCTCAGTACAAGATCCACAAATTATTTATATTATGTGAAGATGTTTTTGGTTTGACTCTTTTGAATCTTAATCCAAACAGCTCCCTTGCCTGTTGTGTAACAACAGGAGTAGGAAAGTGTATCTCTGTAGGTTTCCCGCACCTGGTTTTGATCCAGGGAGCTGCTCTGAATGGGCACTTTGGTCAAAGCGTTTTCCAGTCAAAGCCCTGGAAGGATAGAAAGGGTTGGTGGTGGTTAAAACGGTCATCCCCAAGCAGGAGAAGTTCTTTGCAATTTCTGAGTTTCCTTAAATGGAGATTCCTGAGTGGAATCAGGTATTCAGGGATTCCTGGCCCCTCACCACTTCCCTCTCCCTCCCAACGATAGACCTCTCCTTACAATGCCTCCCTCCAACGATTGGAAGGAGAATCCTTGATGGGCCACAAAGCAACTCACCTGCAGAAGACCAGCTGTGGCTGAAGAAGAATCAGGCTCTCCCAAAGTCTCCCACAGTCGGGGTTCAGATGCCATGGGAATGGAGGTGGCTCAGCCAAAGGTCTGCCAACAGGGCAGGAAGGGAGATGCTGGGGAGCTCATTCTCACAACGAGGGCAAGTCTCACGGTTGCCTGCATTATGCATGGCAGGTGGTGTTCTTGGGGGAAATGTGCCTTGGCGTGTGGGCCCTGAGAATATCCCTGCCCTGGATTCTGCAGGGAGTAAAGCTGGGAGGGCAGGTAGCAGG